CCCAGCCTGGACCCGCCTCCAGCGCCCTCTGCTCACAGGGCCATGATGACGACGGCCTGCGACCTGTCTGCCATCACCAAGCCCTGGGAGATCCAGAGCAAGGTGAGCCATCGCCTGGGGCGCCGCCTCCCTGGTGGGGTGAGCCTGGACCCGCCTCCAGCGCCCTCTGCTCACAGGGCCATGATGATGACGGCCTGCGACCTGTCTGCCATCACCAAGCCCTGGGAGATCCAGAGCAAGGTGAGCCATCGCCTGGGGCGCCGCCTCCCTCCTGGTGGGGTTGGCCTGCGGGAGCTGTGCTCACGTGTGTGGGGTTCCCGAGGTCCGGGTGGAGACCGCGGACACAAAGCCTCTGGCAGGTCCTGGGACGCTCTCTGACCCAGCGCTGAACCCCACTGAACCCCACCGGACGAACGACTGCCTTTTCTGTGCCCCCAGGTGGCGCTGCTGGTGGCAGCGGAGTTCTGGGAACAAGGGGACTTGGAAAGGACGGTTCTGGATCAGCAGCCCATTGTGAGTGTTGCTTCCAGAACCTCCGCCCGGCCCGTGGTCCTGGCTCAGTGCAGACAGCGGACCCCGGTTCTGAAGTCCTGGGCTCTCACTCTGGGTCATGTGACGAGATGTGGTGTGGGTGCCGGTGGCTCAGGATCCGGGGGAAGCTGTGAGGTTGAATCTGGTGGAACCAGGCAGTGGATCGTGGCCAGAGGCTCCACGAGCCCCGGCAGCTCCGCAGTGAGCACGGCTGGGCCCTCAGAGGCCCAGGAAGTCCCAGGTGGGACAGTCGTGGCCCCAGGGAGGGTGCCGAGCCAGGGGGCCAGGTGCTGGAGCCAGGGCCCACACACGGCACATGGGTGGTGGGGGCCTGTGGGTCACGGTGTGGTCATGACTATTCTGCAAGGGAACCGGGGCCAGGACAGCGTGGTAGGTCCAACACGTGGGAGAGACGGGAGAGGGTTTGCTCACAAGCCAACCCACTTGGTGAATAGAGGTCTGAACACAGGCCTGAGGAGGAGCCGGGCAGGTACAGGCGGCAGGAGAGGCGCCCTGACCACCAGCAACGTCTCTGGGACACTTGGCCGGTTTGTCCGTCCAGGCCAGGCTGCTAGGGCCCTGCCTGGCTCACTCTCCCCACGCCGGCTCCAGACCATGGGTAACTGTGAAGCAGGGACTGACAGGAGGCAGCTTGGCGGGTCCGGAGGGTGTGGACAACGAGGACAGCGGTCTAAGCTTACCAGGGGCTCGCGCCTGGGGGTCTGGGGTCCCGGGTTGGCACTGTGGACAGCTCCAGGGGAGCTGGAGGGGCCGCTCTCAGGGGACCCGGGGGCCTGGTTCAGCGCCCTGGACAGCGCAGTGGCTGGGCCTGGTTCGGCACCATGACAGCTCCCTGGGCTGGGGGCCGCTCTCCGGGAGCCCGGGGTCCTGGCTCAGCACCGTGGAGAGCTCCGCGGGGAAGATGGAGGGGGCCGCTCCGGGGGCGCGGCGTCTGGGGGCCCCAGGAGACCTGGGACAGGCCAGCACTATGACGTTGACACGGATGCCCTGGAACCAGGGCCCGATGGCTCCAAGGCGCGTGGGGCATCCTGGCCTTGCCCTGCCAAGGGCCAGCGTCTCAGGCAGGCTGGGCCGGGCCAGGGCTCCACCTTCCTCTGCGCATCTCCATGGTCATGTTCATCCGAGTGGGTGGGGCTGAGTGAGTCCCGGTGCTTGGGGATGTGCCGGACCCACCTGGCCCTGCCCCTGCCCCTCACTGTGCCCCTGCTTCCCCCAAAGCCGATGATGGACCGGAACAAGGCGGCTGAGCTCCCCAAACTGCAGGTTGGCTTCATCGACTTCGTGTGCACCTTCGTGTACAAGGTGAGCGCAGGCAGCACGGGGCCCACGGGCCCAGGAGGCCGTGGAGTCATCGGCCACCCAGGGCTGCCCTGGCCCACCCTCCTCATATCTGCAGTAAAATCCAACATCTTCAGTGTCGCCCCAAGTTGAGTCCCTCCCCCTCCCTAGGTCAGTCAGCGCCTCGTTCCCACCGGCTTTCTCCCGCTCAATGTCCTCACAGTCACCTCGAGACCTCGCCTCCAGTGTCCCTCCCCCAGCCCCCCGGGCGCTCCCCACGCCGGCATTGTTCTCGGGGTGACGGCAGGTGCATCTGCCGGTGTCTGTGATCCCGAGGACAGGGTGGCCCCCTGGAGCTGGGTGTGCTTTGCCCAGAAACATGTGCTGCACAACTGACAAGTGACAGCAGGTCACAGCTCGGGGGACTGGCCAGGGACTGAGGGGCATCTGGCTGCACAGCCTCCTGTGATGCCCAACATGGCCAGGGCCTCCACCCTGCCCCTCGGGCAGCAGGGCAGACCCCACACTCCAAGGAGGATGTTGCCTGGTTCTGAGTGAAGTCACCCCTGACTGGACCGTCCCACCCCCACCTCGGGCCCCAGGACACCACACTTCCCTCCACTGCAACTCCAACCCCATTTCCTGCCTCCACAGCTGACGTGCTGGGGGGAGGCGGGACCAGGATGTGCACTGCAGTCCTGACCTCACAGGTCACAGCTCACCATGCATCCCCTCCCCACTGCACCCGCATGCCCACAGCTTGTGTGTTCACATGCCTGTGTGCTGTGCATGCATTTTTATGTGTGTGCATTGTGCATGATGTGTGTGTATTGTGTATGATGTGCTTGCATTGTGTGTGGTGTGTGTGCATCGTGTGGTGTGTGCACTGTGTATGGTGTGTGCACTGTGTGTGGTGTGTGCACTGTATGTAGTATGCACTGTGTGTGGTGTGTGCACTGTGTATGGTGCGTGCACTGTATGTAGTATGCACTGGTGATGTGTGGCATCCCCTCCCCACTGCACCCGCATGCCCACAGCTTGTGTGTTCACATGCCTGTGTGCTGTGCATGCATTTTTATGTGTGTGCATTGTGCATGATGTGTGTGTATTGTGTATGATGTGCTTGCATCGTGTGTGGTGTGTGCATTGTGTGTGGTGTGTGCACTGTGTGTGGTGTGTGCACTGTATGTAGTATGCACTGTGTGTGGTGTGTGCACTGTGTATGGTGTGTGCACTGTGTGTGGTGTGTGTATGAGGCATGGGAGAAGGAGCACAAGACACACATGTCTGTGAGTCCCCCACCCCCTCTGCAGTTGACACTTTGGACTCTATTCTTGGGGTCCTTGCCCGCTATGATGGCGTGTGTTATAAGCATTCACGCCCACAGCTCCCGAACGCAAACGCCAAGCCCTTCTCCCTGTTCAGGGCTTTGCTGGGAAGTGACATCTCAGTGGCCATTCCTCCTCCCACCCGGCAGGCCTCAGGGTTCTCCCCAGAGGGAACCGAGGCAGAGGCAGGGTCGTGACCTGTCCCTCCACCCGCCCGGGGAGGTCGCGATGTCTGGGTTCCCTTCCAGGAGTTCTCCCGCTTCCACGAGGAGATCCTGCCCATGCTGGAGCGCCTGCAGAACAACAGGCAGGAGTGGAAGGCGCTGGCCGATGAGCACGAGGCGAGAGTGCGGGCCCTGGAGGAGGAGAAGCAGCAGGAGGAGAGGACCACGGCCAGGAAAGGTCTGGGCCCCCGGAGCACAGGGCGGGCACCGGGTTAACCAGTCAGAGCGAGTGAAGAGGCAGAAACAAGGAAGTGAGTTGAGAGGAACGGCAGGTGTCCCCCGGCCCCTCACTGCAGAGGTGGCCACAGGGGAGGCCCGTCCACTAGGAGGCCCGACCACGTCCACGGGTGGGCCCTGCTGACTCAGGAACTCACCAGCCTGGACAAAAGGGTTCCCTTCTCCTGGCCCAGCAGGGACTCTCCTCTCCTCCCAGGAAGTGACCATGGAGTGTTACTTCCTTCACGACGGGGGAAAGCCCACTGAACTATCACCAACTCTGAACGGCTCTTCCCTTCAAAGAACAGTCCCCTCCGGAGTAACTCGGAAACCCACCTGTTTTTCCACGCACACACACTCACATGCTTACACACGCACACACGCACGCCCACACATGCTCACACGCACACATGCACACACGGAAGGAAGAGCTAGGAGCCGTGAGCACGACTCCCTGGGCTGTGTCCAGCACAGTCGTTGGCCTGTTCACCCTGAACTGTGGGAAGGTGGCTGCCCTGGAGCAGCTCAGCCAGTCCGGCTGGACTCTGGGGCCGCGTGGCCTGTGTCCACCTGTGCTCTGCCACTCGGCTCCGGGACTTTTGTGCTATTCCCTGCGGTTCCCTGCTATGGGCTGTGGGAGGCCAGGGCTGAGTGTCACCGGGACTGAGATAAGAAAGGTGAGCCCCAGAAATCGGCTTAGCTGACCACAAACGCTCTTCCCCTCCCACAGGGCCGTAGAGGACACGCAGGCCGACGGGAGGGGCCCGGCTGGGGCATGCGTGGCCCTCCCTCACCTTCTCGCCTTCTCTTGCAGGGGGCACAGAAATTTGCAATGGTGGCCCAGCACCCAAGTCCTCGACCTGCTGCCTCCTGTGAGCCACTCAGGGCCCCTGAGGACGCCCACGCCCCCCACGCCCACGCGGCGGACTCTGCCTCTAACCACTTGGTACAAGAGGTTAGGAAGCCTGAGACGATTTTGGATACTTTGAATTTTTTTTAAGGTTTGTGTTTTTATCAAGTGAAGTCAACTACAAATAACAAACAGTGTAGCCCGCCCTACACTTAACTCATCGCCTTGGACACATAGTCACACCGGAGCCCCTGCGTCTACACCAGTGTCGGAAGCCTGGGGAGAAGTCTGCGCCTGTTTTTATGGATACAGAGGTGCTGTTTCCCAGCTGGTTTAGGAAACGATATCTGACCAGAAATGTAGAATAAATGAAAACAAGTCGCCCCTTTTCTTCTGTGGTGGGAATTACGGCAGAGGGCACACTGTGTATGACCAATCGGAAAAATTCTGGCAGGGAGGTGAGGCGGGAGTAGAGCGCAATCAGACCTGAGTGAGCAGGGCAGGAAGAACCCAGGATAAAGGCCGTGCGTGTCGTTGCTGAGGGACGAGGTCGGGCAGGTCGGTCTCCGATGCCCAGGCTGCCCGGGCCCCTCCTCTGCAGCTGGGGGTCCCCTTACCGCAGCACCACACGCCTCCGATGGCTCCACATCTGAGCCAGGAAGAAAGGCAGTCACCCCCAAACTGGGAAGCAAGGACACAGGTGAGAGGGGTGCTAATTATCTGGCAGAAATTAAGGACTTTTAACTCCTAATGTGAGCTCCCAGCATCTGTTCCCGACACTGGATGACACGACCCCCTGGGAAACGCCCTTCAGCTGGGGTACAGGCCAGTTGTTACAATGCCAGCTCTGATGGCACCAGGGGCTCCCCCCAGGGATGGGGGTGGGGTGCGTGGACACGCCCCACACAGCCAGGCCTTGGAGGGAGGGGCATTTCCGTTTCCATCTCAGGGGCCACAGGCACCTGGTGACGGACGGACCTGTGACTGGAGGAACTCAGCACCATCTCACAGGGGCCTCACTTCACCAAAACCAGGGCTTTGAGGTGCTCGTGTGCTGCTCCCCGTGTCCCCTTCCCATGCACATGAACTCGTTTTATAATGAAACTAGTGGCCCAGTGCATGAAATTTGTGCATGGGGGGAGGGGTGTCCCTCAGACAGGTCTGCACCCTCTCCAATCTGGGACCCCTCAGGGGATGTCCAATTGCCGGTTTAGGCCCAATCCCTAAACCGGCAATTGGACATCCCTCTCGCAATCTGAGACCGCTGGCTCCTAACCGCTCACCTGACTGCCTGCCTGATCGCCCCTAACCACTCTGCCTGACAGCCTGCTCGCCCCCAACTGCCCCCCCTGCAGGTCTGATCACTCTCAACTGCCCCCCTGATCACCCCCAACTGTCCCCCCTGCTGGCCGGATCGCCCCCAACTGCCCCCCCAGCCTGATCACCCCCAACTGCTCCCCCCGCCTGCCTGCTTGCCCACAACTGCCCCTTCCTGCCTGCCTGCTCGCCCCTAACTGCCTCTGCCTCGGCCCTGCCACCATGGCTTTGTCCGGAAGGTCTCCTAGTCTAATTAGCATATTACCCTTTTATTAGTATAGATGGGCAAGAAAGAGCAGAGCCTGGCTCTCCCCTCCATACAAGCCCCAGTCCCATCCTGTCCTCAGGCCACATCCCCTCCCTGGTGTCACGAAGGAGCTGAAGATCCGTGTCTCCCAGGAGGGCATCAGCCCCACCCCCACCTTTGCACTACAAGCCCCCACCCTGTGTCCAGGGCCTGGGCCAGCTCAGAGGGCTGACGGTCCAGCTGTGCCTCCATTACAAACGGCACCCTTTGGTGCTCCCACCTGGATGCCCCAGGGAACAGGTGACAGAGTTCCTGTGCTCCCCACACACACACATCTGTGGATAATTTTTTCTTTTTTTTTTGCCATCTTCTGGTGCCATTTAATTTTCAAGTTGTTTTGATTCTTGATGTGAAATGCTTTCCCTTCCTTATACCCATATTCCTTTCTCCTTGAGGCCCTAATGTTGTTTCCTTTCATTTTCCCTCGAGAGAGAGACACCTCTTCAAAGCTCAGAGAACCCAGGCTGGGCCAGAGCAGAAAGCAAGGACAGAGGATGGGCTGTGGCTTAGAGGCCTGAACACTGAGCTTGCAGGCTGGTTTGGGTGCTTCCTGGGCTGTGCAAGACCACACTCAGCCTCAAGCAGCCTCGAGGGGCCGTGTGTGTTCTGAGTGGCAGCTCTCCGGCTGCAGATTGAAGAACGTGGCTTCTAATCTATACTGTGCCACCAACAGACCATAAGCTGCCAAAGCGAGAAGGGCCTCTGAGAGCTCGCCCAAACCACATCCAACCTCCCAGAGCTGAGGACCTGCCAGGTACCCAGTCATGACTTCAGTTCTGAGGCAGAGCAGCGCAGTGATGCTTGTGACTGGCTGTCCCTTGACGAACCGTCCAGGTGTCTGGGCCCCCAGGACCGCAGACCTGGCATTTCCTGGGAGCCCCCGAGTGCACCTGCCATCACTCCCCAGCCAGTTCTGAGACTGAAGCCAGAGCCAATCGGGGTGACAAGGGAATCCTACCAAGGGACTGGGGAGCAATGGCCAAGCTCCTGGGACTCCAGCAAGGCCATGACGGCCGAGTTAAAGCTAGGATGGGCAGGGTGGGGGACCTGAGGTGGCAAAGTTGGGGGGCAGGGGGGGAATGAGCCAGCAACCTAAATGACTTTACACAAAACACCATCTCAATTCCAAAAAGGTGCCTTGGCCTTCAACTGCCTGGCCCAACAGGCTCTCCCGTGCCCTCGAGGGAGGGGGTCACCATAGCACTATCCTCCTGCTTTTTCTGATGCTCCCAGCGCCCTTTCCGGTCTCCTTTCCTTATGCCTTGGGTTCCTTTTACTCGCTTCCAATTAGTGTTTCCTCCCCTCCCCCCCAGCTTTGATTCCACCCCTTCCACACCCCTCTGATCTCTCCCACTTGACTCTCCTAACTCCCCACCAAATCTTCGGGCTCCCCAACCCCCAGGTGCCTTTGGTATTTCCGCAGTCGGCCGCAGGCGTCTCAGATAAAGTGGATCCAGCCCTGAGGCCCCCCAGTTATCAGTCCCCCCGCCCCCAGGTGCCCGGGTGCTCAGGCCCACACAGAGCATAGTAAGGGCGCCTGTCCCAGGACGTGTGGCCTCCCTGGCAGCGCGGTGGTGGGTGGTGCTGCTTCGGAAACCCCACCCCCACCCCCGCACACACTGAGGACTCAGGAAGCCAGAGCTCACACACAGAAAGCTTTATTCATGTCCTGCTGGAGAGGAGCTCACTTCAGGATGCTGTCATCACGGGCTGGAAGGTCGGAAGGAAAACGTGCGTTACTGCCTGTCCAAGCAACTTAAAAGGGGCGCTTCAGCTTTTGGGGTTCAACACTCCACATCCCGCTCCCATGGAGCCTGACGGGGCTGAGCTTAAACTCCCGCCTGGTGGCCTCGTCCCTCGTCCCTGCCCGTCAGAGGGAGACTGTGCGCCGGTCCTGCGGCCACGCCCCTGGACCACCCCCTGGGCCCCTCTCCTCCATGCAGGTCGCTAGGGGCTGATGTCCGTCCCAGAAAGTCTGGGTGGAGGGCAAATCTGTCCGACTCAGACCCCCGTACCTTCCGCCAGTTCTCTCTCGATCCGCTTCAGCTCATCCTGCCTCTTCTTCTCCTCGGCGGCCACTCTCCTCTCCTCCTCCGCCCGGGGCTTCAGGTAACCTGTCGGGGCAGCGGGAAGGGCACTGCCCATGAGCTCCCCCCCCCCCGAACGCCCTGCAAGCACCTAACCCCGCGCAGCCTCCCTTCCGGGGAGCTAGGAACCCCCTGGACCTGCCGTTCCTTCTCCTTTACCTCCACGTCGGGCAAGGCCTGCAGGTCGCCCCTCAACACGGAGCCCCGCCCAGAGAGGGCGACAGGGTCCCACTGCCCAGCGCCAGGACTCGGACCGCAGCTCGCGCCCACCCAGCTGTCAACCACCATCGGTTTCCAGGCCCCAGTTTCTCAGACACCGCCCCCGTTTTCAGCCCCCGCTCCCAGACACCCCAGGTTCCAGGCCCCCCCAGGTTTCCAAGCCCTCAGTGTTCTCAGAA